CAATATCTATGCCGCAGATATTTATTGTGAGACGCACAATCGTGGCATGATTAATGATAATCAATATGTACAATCAATTCATGATTCCTAATATAGAATATTGATTAAAAATGTAGAGATTTCTTGTTAACAAAATTTAGCGCGCTTGATGTACGATTGACGTTTAGCTGAGATTCTCTTCAAATAATTTTTATATAAAAGTAAAGATATTTTATATATAAAGATTAATATCTTTATTTTTACTAACTCAAGAATTTTTTGATATATCGTCGTTATAATGAATATATATATTATAATTTAGATAAAATGAAAAACAAATTTAAGTATTTTTTGTCTCTAAACTCTAAAAGCTCAGTATATTTTATAAATAAGATATTAATTTAATAACTTTTTATTTCCTGCCTTTTTTATTGATAAAAAAAACCACTGTACTTAGAGACTGTATTCATGATTTCCTGCTCTTCTTCGTCTACCTCTGTATTGTTATCCGTAATTATTCTCACCGAAAAAAGCGAACAATGCGGTTCGATTTTTCACCGATGGCAGGCCATCGTCGCCCTGCATAAACAGGTCGCTGAGCTTCCGAGGGGATGGCCTGTCCTGGCCGGCCATCGCGTACACACCGTCGGAGTACGCCGCCGGAACCTTTCGGATTAGCCTACTGTCTATAGGAGGTACACATGCGACTCGGATTAGGATAGCTTTCCATGGAAAATCACCTTCGCTGTGTCACACGCAGGCATAATCGCGGGGTCGTCACTTTCCTATCTCATCAACTCTCCTAAGAAATATTTTTCGCGTCGTTCCATGATTGATTAGTTTTGACGTTCCCTCTTACTTGAATCTTATCTTCAATGCAAAATCGATGAAGCGTGACGTATAATTTTCGCGCAAACCATAATTATAATAGTAATCCTATCGGAACCTACCTGAGGTAAGTCTGTTGTGCTTCTCGCTTGAAAATATCGGGTTGCAAAAGAGACATGCATGAACGCGAGATTAAATTTCAATTAAGTGTTGTTAATGAAAAATTGAGTAATAGTATAGTAAAATACTAATGACTTGTTGAGATGCTTCAAAATACTTTAGCAGATTTACTCAGTGAAAAGGACGCGCGGATAATTATAAAGTGACAACCCTCTGACATGCGTAATAATACAGCGAACTTGATAGATTACACAGTATCGAGTACTTGCCGATTGCACCCCATTCAGGATGAGCCAGATTGTTATAAAATCCATCGTATCTCTGTTTATTGTCCGCATATCTATGCCCCGCTCCTAAAACAGAGGCTCGCTTTATATAAAAGAAAAAATTCTTCATTGAAATCTGAACTTTGCAATATCCGCTATCGGGCGGGCAGTTGATTGCCTATAGCGTTACGTTTAAATGAGAGTTTTAATAATCCGACAGTCCGACGAGCGTGTTCAGATGTAAAATACGATTTCTCAGTTCCTTAATTAATAGAAAAGTGTAACGCGCTCTTCTGCTTCGAAAATGTAATTAGGATATTTGGGACGATATAAGCGAGATAATTGAAAGTGGGTCAAAAGTGTAAAACGAGTTTAACGAGAGTGATATCTACCATAAAATTAATATCTATCGCCTCGCGTTTCAATCTATTCCCTAACTCTCGTAAATATCTTTTAATTCGAACAATAAAATTAATAATAAAATTAGCACGAATATTACGAAATGTAGGTGCTTTTATTTTGGTGTTAGATCCCTCTCCAAATTCGTTACGCACAATTTCAATTTTTTAAAAATAATTTTCGGATAAAAAATTTTTAAAAATAAAATTGATAATTATATTTAATATGTAGTTAGATGATTTTTTTTTGTACACAGTTATTAAATTTATATATTTTAACTAGGTAATATTCGTATAATTCATACACAATTTATTTTACAACAAATGTTACGAGATGTTGGTTATTCAAATTATTAAATTCATTATTTCATTTTTGACGTTATTAACGTATTAGAAATATGAGACGTTTGTACGAGAACGATTAGAAATGTGAGACGTTTTTCGGAGCAGAAAATTTTATATTCAAACTGAGTCTTTCACATCTCGACAGTCCGCTCTTTCACGGGCAGCAAGACTTTACGGTCGCGATCACTTGGGGGGCCACAGGTGCCGCCGGAACGATAACGGCGATTGTACTTACCGGTTTCAGCGGGTAACGCGATCCAGAATGCCCAGGCGATCGCGCAGAGCGGCGCGATGCCGCGGGCCGGCGGTCGTCGTCGTGTCATCGTGTGTCACTCGAGTATCCCGCCCGATCCACGCCCGTGCATTTCTCTCATGCCACGCAGGAGTCTTCTTCCTTCTTTTTTCCCTTAGAGCCCTTCGACGCGGTCCCTCTTTCTTTCTCTCGCTCTTTCTCTCCTACCAACGGTGTCCTCGAGGATGCCGACGCATGCCGTTAGTACCCTCCACCAGCGTCGCGCGGCACATACGAAATCGTCGGAATCACCGAAGACGCGGGGACCGGTCTCGAAAGAGTGGCCGCGGGCGGCGGCGCGCGACGCGGATTGCTGATCGCCGCTGCCACTTGACGATCCCCGCCGACGAAGGAGGAGAGGGAGAGAGCTTCGCCGCGCGCGCGAGGTGCAAAAAATGCCACCGCGTGATTTTTCGACCAAATCTGATGCACACGTGTAGGCGGGCGCGCGCGCAAAGATAGTCGAAAGGCGATATCGGAGGTATGGCACACACACATACACACCCACACACACACTCGCGCGTGCTCCGGAATCCACCACGTGCTGCGCTCGATCACGAGAAGAGGAATGAAATCACCACCTCGCGACGGGGAAACGGACGGACGAGAAGAGCGAGTGGACGATGCGCGATACACGCGTCGGTCGCGAAGCCCCGAGAACGTTTGTGATCGGCTGTCTCTCGGAACCGTGTGGTTCTCTGACTCTGTGCGCCCGCGCCGTAGTCTGCGCCTCCGCCACCACCACGCAGACAGACACAGTCCGCTCTTGGTCGCGCGGTGAAAGTCGCCGGCCTATTTGTTTCGTTACCGCGAACGCGCGCCTCCTCCTCCTCCTCCTTCTCCGTACCTGTCCTCTCTCAGCCGCCTCCTTCGCGGGCTCCGCGCGGCGTCGTCGGCCTCAACAGTGTTCTTCAACCGTTTTTTCGTACGGTGCTTTTAGAGGAAAGATCGACGCGTCGGACTCCGTACACATTATTCTTATCCTATTCAACATTTCGTTCGAATCGACTCGAAGATCGAGTACCTATATTCCTTTCGTTTTAATCGAGACGATCGGGGGGAGGGGGGAGTCTCGTCTTCTAATCTAATAGCGTTTTCGATTTGTTGACTCGATCCGACTCCGAGTCGACGGTCTGTTCTTTTTAGCTATAAAAAAAATAGTTAAAATGCACAAGAAACGCTAAAAAGAACAGACTATTTTGACTCGGAATCGGATCGGGTCGACAAATCGAAAACGCTATATAAAGCGCCGTCCCTATTAAATTGTCAAGAGGCTCGACAGGCTATAGATATTTCGCCGTCTTTGGTAATATACTATTTTAAGTAACGTTCGCGGGAACAGGCATTCAAGGGAGCGTGTACTCTCGCGGTGCACTCTTACTCGCGGTCCCACGGCCGCCGCCGCCGCCGTACCACCACGGTTGAAAAACCACTGTACGTACATCCAAGAGGCGCGATGCGGCGCGCGGCGCGGCGACGTCACCGCGGGCGCACAGGCCTAGTTTTCGAGTCCGCGGCACCGATTACCCAAGGCGAAACCTCTCTCGAGTAGTCCCCGCCGGTCGTTTCAAGGTCGGAGCGCGACGTCGTTCGTCGGACGGACGGTGCGCCGATGCGCGCCACGTTAGAGACGTGTCACGGAGGACACGACGGCACGCGCTCGCGTAATCGACTCGGCGGCGCGGCGCATTCCGCGCGCGAGTGACTTTTCTCTCTCTCTGTCCTCCCCCCCTTTCTCCCCTCCTCCCTCCTCGACGTTCGCTCTTTCGAAGTGAAAATGAGAAGAAAATCCGTGTCACCTCACTCACCGACGATGCGAGTCGGCAAACGGCGATCGGAAGGGGGTAGGATACGCGTACCGACGACAGCAATAACAAACACGCAGAGTCGGCTCTGCGTTTGTATTGACGTCGCGTTACGTATACCATTGTATTTGATAATCAAATAAAACGTATCTATATATTCACACGACACAGAAAAGTTGTGAGTAATCGTATATTAAGACAATCAACGTATTCTATGTAATACGAGGTCACTCGAAGACGCTATTCTTTTTAAGCGTACGATTTACAATATTTACATCTCAAAATCGTACGCTTAAAAAGAATAGTGTCTTCGAGTGACCTCGTATTACATAGAATACGTTAATTGTCTTAATATACGACTGCATTGTTCCGAGAGACAATTACTATTACGTGTTTCAATTGTAATTTAATAAAGTACCGGCCGTTTCGCGCTCTCGTTTCGAAACCGGTAGACCTCAGATCCTTCAGATTCTCTCGGTTATTAATGTGACTTACACGCGGCTTACTAATTGGACCGCTCACCGGGGATCCGGGAAGATTCTCGGTTGCCGTTTAGCGGCCGGGCACAAAAGGTGCGCCCAGGTCGGCGGCGGCGGCGCGCACTCTATGACTCAACCGCGGAGAGAAATCGCGTCTACCGTTCTCGCGCGCCACGATCCGCGCCGGCCGATCTTTGATCGCCCTTGGCACGAATCGATAACCTGGAGAAGGAGGATCGCACGCGTTATTGCGTGCGTTACACGCGGCCGGCCGCTGTTCTCTTCGTCTTTCGGAAGCGCGCGAGGTCCTTCACCCTCCTCTCCGTCGCCGAGTCAACGGAGGACGAGCCGCGGAGGATGAAATATCGCCGCCCGCACAAATTGTACAACCGACACGCGTATCTTTCTCTTATCGGGATTCCCCCCCGGCCTTTGTTGTTCAACCCTCCCCAGAGAATGGGTCGTCTGCAAAAACTTCGTACGGCACGTGAAAAAGAACTTGTGTTTTTATTCGCATACCATTCGTTTGCATACAGAATCGTCGAACAAAAACTTCCGTTTCGTGGAAGGAACGAGATCTCGTCGCAAACACCGCGTTTTTCGCGATCGTCGTAGAATGAGAGAAAAAAAAACATACACAACTCATCGACGTCGGTTTCTTTCGTTCGTGCGTCGTTTATTGTCGCGTCGAAACCCATTGGCGTGCTCGTTAGGAAAAGAAAAAAAAAACATTTCGTTGCGGTACAAATACTTAAAAAGACACACCCGTTTGCGCTCTCGCGCAAATCCACTCGCACGTACTCTGGAAAGACGGACGGAGAGTGACCGCGGACGCCAGGCGGCGGTCACTTGGAGTTCGAGTTCGAGGGGTAGTAGTAAACCACCGCCGGCGCCGGCAGCTGCCAGTGGGCGGCGTGGAGCTCGATCAGTTGCAGGAGAGTCCTCTTGACCGGCGGCAGCGTCGTATCCTCCGCCAGGAAGGCGTCGCGCACGCTGCCGAGCAGCTGCTGCAGCTGCGCGGGCAGCTCCGCGTCCAGGTCCTTGCCGATGCACGTGAGGATGAAGAACAGGCAGTTCGTCTACGGTACAGACGAAGAGAAACAGAGATATCAACTTTCTATCGAGTTTCAATGAATTTCGATTCGGTCGGAGATCGGCTTGGTAGCGAAGCGGAATCTGGCGCGAGAATGATAAATTTCATTTTTTTTGTTTGTTTGTGCAAAGTCTATCTAGGATGCAGGGACGGAGACTTATGGCTTTTACTGGAATACCTCGTCCAAGCGAAGGAAAGGTTACAATGACACACGAATATTTTATCTTTTGCCGTATGTGCGAATTATATTTGTTACATGTATTCTTCTATATTTAATTTTTTTTATATATTTTCTCTTTACAAATATAAATCTTTACTGTTACAAATGTTAATACTATTATTTGTCAAATAAACTCAAATTTTTTTTATTTATTTAATATTTTTTAATATTCTTATTTAAAATTTGTCAAAAATTAAAACTTTTTTTAAATACCCGAAATTCTGGGTGTGGAAAGCTCCGTACCTTCCATAAAAAAGTCTCCGTCTCCCTGTTAGGGTAAACTTTATATTTGCATCTTGTTAAGTCCGTATTATTGAAAATTGAGGATTGCAAATTGAAGATAAAAATTTGATTGATCAGACAATTTTAATTTTGATTCGTTTTATTCTGATTAAATTCTAATCTCTAGTTCGCAATCCTCAATCTTTACCTGTGCTGAATCTTGTATAATTTTGACTCAAATCATTGGGATTGTAAATTGGGATTTTAATTTTGGCTAAATTAAGAATGAAGTCAATGAATTGTTTCGCTTTGCAGGCCAATGACTTGTTTCATGACACTGGCCGATTGAGCTCGGTCTTACCTCGGCGAGCGAATTAATGACGGGCGGTTGCAGACAGTCCTGGCAGCATTTCCAAAGCAGCGTGAGCAACACACGTCCAGGTGGAACACCCTCCTGCTGTGTCTTCAATTGTAGCTGCCGTCGCTTCAGCTGGAGCAACACGATTACGCACGTTTATGCGGGCGCACTCGAAAGCTTAGTACCGTCATAACACGCGGCAGACGATTAAAAAAAAAACAACGAGCACACAAATAATCGAAACGAACTAAATCATATAACGAGATCAAGAACCTTGCAACTGGGTCTCCGATTCTCTTCATTACAACATCGTTAAAGTCGTAACCAGTCGGAGTGCGTTTTCTTACCGAGATAACGGATACTGCGTGATAAACGTGTTATTAACTTATTATGTGCTTAGTTATACCTGACAATACATCTCGTTGAGAAACGTCATGAAGGCTGAGTATCGATGGTAGATCGTACTGTCGTGCAGTAATCTAGCGCGATCCTGGTACCACTGTTGGCACATATTTAGCAAGGATTCTAGGAAAGTTTCCTTTGTTTCTTTCTGTACACAAAATGTATTTTAAGTTATATATTTTTATTTTGTGCGCGTCACGCTAACAATAAGATCAACGTCTAATTTCTTTCGAATGCTATTGTTTGTGGATACAACTTTTTAAACAAAATAAAATAAAATACGACAGTAATATTTAATATAACAAATGACTATATCTTATTACAATCTTGAAAATTGAAAAACGTAAATTATAATTTTTCAAATATTTTTTTCTTAGAACATCCTGTGTTTTAATTTCTTTTACGTTTGAAAAAGTGAACGGCGAATATTCATTTTCGATTTTTTCGATCAATTTTGCGAAAGGATAATAAATGAAAAATAACGAACCTCTATAATTGTGATGCAAATTTTAGCTGCCGGCTCGGCATACTTGCGATTTTCCACTACCCTGTCCAAAATGTGCCGTACTAGTTCCATTAACGTCCTCGCATTTAACAGATTCGGATCTGTCAACAACACATATCAGCGTCAATCACTTTCATTAATTTTTTAATCGTCTCATTAAATTTTTAATTGTCCGTTAATTTTCGATTATCGTCAAAGAAATCAGTTGAGAATAATATGTCTTGTTTATTTTTGCTGAACTGCTACGTTCCATGATGTTTATGCCACATGTATATATAATATGCAATTCGATTAGATTGGCATAACACTACTCAAGTCATTAAGCTTAACGTTCTAAAAATCGATAACAGACAGACTCTATTACCTTCTATCGCTCGCAGAAGTATATCTTGAACGGGCGAGGGGAATTTTCCGAGCTCGGAGGCGTCCGCGATGTTGAGTGCTTTCGCGGCTAATACATCCGTCGAGTTCAGACTCTTGATGCGCTTCAGGCCATAAGTCGATACGAAGGTGTGCGATTTGGTGAGCTTGCCCGGTTTCACGGAATTAGTCTTGACTTCGTTTTGGTCCACACTGAAGTGCACCCGATTCGCGGCCTGACAGATAAAATAATTTTTCACATTTTTTTCTAAATTCAAGAGCTTCTCAGGAGTTAAGTTGAAAAAAAAAAAGAGATTTAAGAAAAAGATTTGGATAAGCGAAGCGGTCATTTAATATAATTTAATAATCGTTCTGCATTCAATTCTAAATCAATCCTAAATGGCCGCTGCGTCCCCGTCCAATCTTTTTCTTAAATCACTTTTTTATTATAAATAAGGCCTTTATTCCGCTTATTGGTTTTTATCCACATCATATTTTTGTGTCTTACTCACGTGCAAGATGTTTCCGCTGGACGCGGACGTGTCCAAAGGATGGGATTGACGCAACGTGGAATTCGCTGTCGAATGATGGCCGCTCTGAGAATGACGGGACGGTAGCTGATGCTGTTGCTGCAGAGAATGCTGCAGCTGTTGTTGCTGAGCGTAGAGATACCGGTGAACATTGCCGCTCGATTTGCTGTGCTGCAGATAATACGCGGGACGCTCCGATGCGTTAATCCGAGATCTAGTCGAGACATATGTTCAGACTTTATTTACAGATCGATGCAGATTCAGAATTGTGCCTGACAGGTGTTTCGGGCAATGCGTTCGTTCCAATAATTTTTTAAAAACGCTCCACATATATCTATATTAATTATTGTTATCATTGTTAATAGCTTAAAGGAAGACAAAGTTAGACTTAAAGGGGTAATATCTCATTTAAATGTTTTCTCATAAAACAAAAGATAGAAATTTACTATTTAAACAAATCATTTTAATGCTACATCATTAAATATAAAAAGTCTAGATTATCTCATTATTTGTATAATTAATATTAAAATCTGAACGCGTTCAGAAACAGCGTCGTGACTCAACTCAAACAATTTTTACACGGCGACAAGAGTACGCCATTTAAATATAGCCGGTTCACCACTCACTTAGAAGGATGCGAATCGTTTTGCTTCATCGTGAATTCCTTGGCGTGCACGTTCAGTCGAAGATTAGTCGAAGTGACGTTCGCCGTGGTTCCTTCCGCTCTCCCACCTAGAGACGGCCGTGAAAATCATACGGACGAGATATTTGTGTGAAATGATAAGGTTTTACGACGCGCGCTCGTCACTTAATAACGAAAATATGTACGAACCTGGGGGCCGATATATTTCTAAGGACGGTTTGGACTTGGGGGTGGCTACGTTATTACTTCCCTTCTGCGGAACCGCATCCCTCATCTAAAGAGAACAAAAAAAAAAGCATATGTCATAAGACACGCGAGAATCTAATGAGTCCGTCCTCGAAACCACCTTCGAGTGCCTTCGAGGAAATCTTTTTTCTCGCCGCAGAACCGCAGCGAGGCTGCAATTGTGAATAATTGCGCCGTCTGTATTATTAAAGGCCGATGGCGAACTTTCCAATTTGGTTGCCTACACTTATGTAAATGCAGGAAACCGTGGAAAAGATGATTCACCGTCCGAAGAAAGTGGGAGTCTAAAGTATTTGACTTTGACTTTTTAATGCAATTACATATGACACGATGTCTGTTTCATTGAAATCTGTTTTATCATATTTCATATTTAAAATTAAAATGGTAAAATAAAATTAAAATAATATTAATGCCTTCGAGCGTTTCATGTTCTATTTTTCAATGTATGACACATCAAACAAAGTAACGCGACGAGTTGGCATTATGATAATACATAGTTTGCAATATAACGGAGAGATTTCAATCGTATAATAAAATTCTCACTCTTCTAAAGAAATAACTTTTCCCGAAAATGCGAAAAGAAATCTTACAAACAGATATAATATTATGTAAGACGTAAAGCGTTCAATTTTATTCAAGCGGGGACAATCTTGAACGAGACGTTAAGTTCAAGGTCCTCTTTCTTTCTCGCCTTTGTAGACAAAGAATTCTTTTTAAATCTTTTAATTTTCTGCTCAATTTACCGAAAAATGTATTTCACCGCACGCTGCGAATGTAATCCCTCCCCTTGCAAAATCCGAAGTTTTAAAATAATCCTTCTAATCAGCAAAGTCTTGGCATTCGCTTCTCGCATTGTATATGTATATTGTACCGCATAATCACGTGCATTATTCACTACAGTGTCTAGAGGGTGTTTCTTAAATACTGTCTAATATTTTAAAAGTTGATTTTTTAAAGTCATTTAATAAAAAAATTTCTTGTATATGTAAAAAGTTATTAATATAGAAAATTATTAATACGGTCACAAAAGCCTCGTTTCAAAAATACAAGATCAAAAATTCTATAAATCTATTATCGTTTTTTCTTTAGAGCCTGAGAAAAAAGAGATTTCTTCTTCAAACTCGGGCTAGTTAATAAGCAGGATATATTTTTATCTACGGTCGTCGCTTTTACAAAAAGTCAATGGCGCAAAAACGGAATTAGGTAGTGATATTTCTGCTCCGAACTTTTACACCAAGGACGGACTCAAATTTTTTGCAGATTTTTATTATTTCATTTCGGTACATTCTCGCTAGACTCTCAAATAAATTAATTTTTTAAAACTTTTTTTTGTTTAAGAGATATTAAGAAAAGACGATAACTTTATAGAATTTTTAACACCCTGTATTTCTGAAACGAGATCTTTGAGACCATGTTCACATAAACTTTTCTTCATAAAATCACCTAAAAAATAAGTACGCAAAATATACCTTGTGTACAAAAGAATGTATCTATAGCTATAATAAAGAACGTTACACGTACATTTCTCTCATTGTAATGCACGTTACAATAAATGCAACGAGCACATTGGCTAAACACAGGCTCGTTATGGTAACACGTCGCGAAGCATGCGGGACGTTAAATGTGTATACGTAACATGTCGCGGACTCAATTAAACGCGTGGGTTTCATATACGCGCCAATTTATTGCCACGGACAGTGCCTTATTACAGAGGAATATTAATTGTGAATTAATCGACGCGATTAAAAATAATAAATTGCGAGAATTAACCTGTCCAATTGTCTCTACTCTAAGAAATGTAAATGTCCATATAAAAAATATTCCATCTAGCTAAAAGAGATATTTCATCGACTTTTTATATAATCCGTGTTTTCCATCTGTGTCCTTTTTTATAAGAATGCAAATTTATAGTTTCGTAAAAAAAAAAGAGGTAAATAAATCAAGATGGATTGAGAGAAACAGAACAGACAAAAAAGAATTCGATAATTGCAGCGGAGAGTCTATCGAAAATTAAACATTTATAGAATTCTTTAAAATTAGCATTACATCTTCAAGCCGTCTTTTGTAGAAGGAAAGCGAAATACACGTGAAATTGACAATACACTGCTATTGTTTACGTAGCTGCTTTAATTCGCGCAAGTATGAAACGCAATTTGAAACCTGCATCGTTATCGAGTGATTTCTCAATTTATCAAAAAAAAATATATATATTAATATTATTAATTGAAAATAATCTCGTTGATTCAATAACAGTTAATGAAAAACAAAAACAAAACGTATTTGTTTCATTAATATCCGTATCAATGTAGGCTAACCTTTATTTAACTTTAATCTCGGTTTAACTGACTGTTTATCTTTTTGTGATTATAAAAATAAAAAGATTAACCTTAAAAAAATGAATTAATCTTAAAATTAATTAAAAGAATTAAGAATTAAAAAGAGATTATAATTATTTGGTAGAAATGGACATAATATTGTTATTGAATTAATAAGAATAATTTAATAATAATAATAGTTTATAACAGACTGCTGTTGATACATCATTTTTTTCCACATTTTCTTATTTCACGCATCAGTATATATCCCCGTTGATTTCGCGAGTCGGCCAAGACGCGTCCGCGCATCTTTCCCATTGTCAGCGTCGTTCACCGCTCACGTTATAATGGTGAAGAAAAAATGACAACCGGAACAGCGCAAACTCTATACAATTGATATACTCTTCAGTATACTTTCGATAATCGCAAAAAAAGTATACCGTACAAAAAACATGCTCCAATTATCGTCCCGCGCTTTGCGCGAGACGCTTCGACAGTCGGAAATATCGAGAAATGTCACCGATATAGCGGAGTGACTCAACTACGCGGAACCAAGGCACTCTCCTCAACGAATCGAAAACAGATGCTACGGGCACCGACGTAATTTCGGCGAGTTGGGATCTCGGCGCTACGTGCTTTCCTATCACGCGAAAAAAAAAGACCGACCGATCTCCGCACGGGAGTCATCTGCTCTCTAATTAGCCAAAGTCGATCGCAGTCTAACAATAAGTAGTCTAACGACGATTCTCCGCCTCCTCCATCTGGACGTGGAAAACAAAGAGAGAGAGAGAGAGAGAGAGAGAAAAAGAGAGAGAGGGAAACGGAGGCGATCGTCAATTAAACCTCGCTTCAGCTTTAACGCAGCAGTTTTCTCACGTTTATTCGTAACGTTCACGACGCTGGTACGAAAGACGACGCTGGTGCATCTTCCGCGTGATCTTTTCTTTTAATCAATGTGCACATCAGAAGCGTTGGAAGAAAAAAAAATCCGCGCCATCGACGAACGGTATTTCACCGAGGCAAAAAATCACGAAGGAAGATCTTATTGCGATTCGAGCCGGGGAATAGAGAGAGGCAGGGGAGGAGGGGGAAAGATATGACGACTTGACGAGCAACTCACAGTGAAGAGCGTGCGAGAATCATCCTTTCCAAGGTCCAACGAGAGCTGCTATCGAGATCCTTCTTCTTGCACACGGGTCATCAGACACACCGAAATCTCGCGGCGCGGTGCGGCGCGGCGCGACGCAGCGCGGCGCAACGCGTGCGACCCGCACGCACGTGCACGAGGGGGGGAGGGGTGGCGAATCTCCGAGCGCGCTGCGCGACACGATTGTGCTTTCTCGACGAGACACGACAAGAGAGACGCGACTTTTCCACGTCGTTGAACGTGCGTGCGTCCGTGCGTCGTCGTCGCCGCCGCCGCCGCCGCCGTCGTCGTCGTCGTCGTCGACGTCGCGTCTTCGCTCGCGCACGCAGAGACTCCTCTCCGATGACCGAGGACTAATAATAGCCGCGGCGTAGCCACGAGCGAACGCGAGAGCGAGCGCTATATGTACAATGTATATCTACGGCATCTACGCGCGACGTCGTTGTACACGTATTCGACGTATATATACGCCGCTGCACCGCGCGGGAAGAGCAGACTGAAATACTCGACGGGACGCGCTCCGTCGCGCGCGCGGACGGAAACGCGCGTCGCGATGCTTCTTTTTTTCCTCTCTTTCACTCGCGCTACTTCTTTCTCTCTCTCTCTCTCTCGAGATCGGGAAACCGTGCCATCTTCCGCCGTATAATTCTCGCGGTCGCTCATCGACGCCGGTGGCGGGCTAAAAAAGGTTATTTGTTTACTAATACCGGGGAGCTTTCACTGGCTCCTGCACCGTGAGATGCGAACTTTTTCAGTCTCCGCTCCGATGCACCGCGAGATCTCGTCACGTGAACGGTGTTTTCACGATGATCTATCTATTCTGTCTCAATATTTGCATAATTTTTTGTATTCTTCACACTTCCTGCATTGGCACTGCCATTAAGTATTAATTACTACATAATTTTGTCAAACGCTTTCATCTTACGCATGTGTCATTGAAAGAGAATGCAAAGAGATAAGGACAATTCCGGGAAAAAGAAATGGATATTTTTTTGGTGCTTATATATATGTTAATCTAATACTAATGTTTATTTTTTACCAATGTAAATTAATCTCGATTTATTTTTTTTCTAAGAATTATTGAATGACTAAGTTCTAAGAATTAAAAAAAAGATAAAAAGTAAATTAAATCCAGATTAATTTAAATTGATACAAATGAGACGGCCGATAAACTCGACACGATAAATCCTAGATACTATACATACAATATTATTTTCACACAGTGCTTTATGTCTGTCATTGTAATAAAACGATGTTTTGCAATGATTTTTAATCATTTTTAATTACAACTTTATTTGGTATAATTTTTAAAGACTATACTACATTTGATTTAAAATATTCTGAAAACTTGAGTTAAATTCTAAAATTAGCTGACATAAGTTTTAATACGTATAAGTAATAATAATTGTGTTACATATTTTCATCTTACTAACGTCAGGCTAAAAATTCGATCATTCGTGAGGTATTAAAAATTTGTTGCAACATTTCATATATCTTTTATTATAATACTGCAATATTTAATATATCTTTTATTATATACACACTCGTATATTTTTTGTTTTCTTGTATTTTTTTACGCTTTACGACAGTTATTCAATAAGAATAACACAACATAAACAAAGTATTAATTTTATTAAATTTTCCACTTTAGTAAAAAAAGGTAACGAATTAACAAAGGCATTAATAAACTGCAAAACTTTTATCTTCACCCTCCTCCCCTCCCCCAGAGATAAAGAGGAATACGAAAATATGCGATGATATTCTGTTTTGCAATAAACTGTTGCCATGCGGTAAAATTTATGTAATTTTTCGGCTTCCGCATAGCTTCTACCGTCATCGCGGACTTCGTTCTTCTGAATGGACCCGTTGTCTCCGCACATGTCTGACATCGATGTTTTACTCCGTTTCGCATTTGATCAGACAAAATGATAAACGACAAATTCGAGAAAAATCCCTATAATCTCCCGCTATTAATACAATACACTGGTATTATCAATAAAAATGCACTAGCAAGTTTGAGGAATGCGCGAAGTTAAGAGCGCACACACGCTCATTACAAAATTAACATGATAATAGCTGAAGGCCTCACCTTCGTCAGCGCTCCGTCCGCGCGAGTTGCCCGCACCATTCTCGCCGTTTATTATACTTAATTATCAAACATCCAATGACAAATCGATGCCAGGATGTCAGGATTATCTCCGCGTATTTTCTGCACCACACTCTCGACGAACAATCCCCAGCCGAACTCTCCTTTCTAATCGACGAGAATTTCCGTCGTCAATGAAGAAAGGAGCTCCTGATCCGCGATCGAAATTCTGCGTCGCGCATGATTCAAACCGTATACGCTTCTCGCGTCGTGTTATTTCGTTTTTTTTCGCGTTTTTTCGTTCTGCCGAGCGGTTTTCTTTTCGCGTCGACGCTCATTCAGAGATACCTAAAAAAAATTTAACAAGAAGTTGCCAAATATCGCGGAACGTACACACGGCCGATCACGTCATTCGCGTCACTCTCGCGCGATTCGATTCCCATAAGACGCGTCGCGATCGACGACGCTCGCCGTCTACGCCTCGCTCGATCCGGCCGATCGATCATCCGGCCGAGCGCGCGCCGCGCGGCCGTATCGCGTCACTCGTCGAGACTATATAGATATCGTTTCTCAATACATGTATGTAATTACCGCGCGATGATTCACCTAGCGCGCCTGGATAACCGGCCTGGATTGACGCCTTTCGGGGCTTCTCCTCTCCCGCGCGTCGAAATCACCGAGTTAAAACTATCGTTAATCCAAATATCGAGAGATTTCCGGAAGAGACCGGACGCGAGAGCCCACTTATATTACCGTACGCGGCGACGGTCGCTCGGTGCGCGGATGCTGTCACGCCGATGACTGGAAATACGCGGCGTGCACACACCTAAGCATTACTTAATACGCGATTCGCGTGGTTGGTAGGCGACCGCGCGCCGCCCCCGTACACCTGCCGACGCGGAACACACCGACGACGGAAAGGAAAAAAAGAAAGAGAGAGAGAAAAAAGAGTCACGCTATACGTAGTCGGGATCGGAGCGGCGCGGCTGAAGGAGCGCCGTTTATATCGGTCATTTATCCGCGAGTATGTAAATTCGTCGCAGCTCCGCGCGTGACCCATGCACTTGTCTCAATTTACAATAATTTACGAGCATCTGATTTACGACAAATTTACATGCGAATAAACGGAGTAATATAATAAATATATATATGATGATATGCATACATAAAATAAAAAAAGTTTTTTTAACTTGTAATATCATATAACAATGTCATAATTTATAGTAATGAAATTATTCTGGAAATACATATAATAGATTGGGTCTAAACAAATATCTTTCTAAACAAATATCTTTCTTCTTTCTTAAACTTATTTTCGTATATATTTTACTGAAAATATACGACTCGCATTGCGTGAATAATAAATGAATTAAAAATAATTCGGGAAACTGCAAATTTTCAAGAATAGTCACCAGGGATGATTTTTACATTCCGGCAGTGAGAAAATAAAACTCAGTCACAATAGTATTCCTTACTGACCGAGGATTTTAATTTTTTTTAAATTTCTTATTGTAAAAAGACTGAGTAAATTTTTATATATACATAATGATCTCAAATTTATTAATAAATTGTAGACCAATATGTAACTAAAAATATGTAATAATAGGGATTTTTAATTCAGATCAAACATTCACTTAAATACCTCAGATAATTTATGCAAAAAAAATTGGGTGACTTGCCAGGCTGAATAATAATTGATTGCCTGTCACTGTATTAAATTAAAAGCGATCTGATAGTTTTATACCCAATTTATTGTACATAACATTGAAATAAGTGAAACGATACACATGACAAAGATATGTCACACACCCACACGTCGCACACACACACGCGCACGTTTACTCACATACACCACCCTCGCAAATCGTTGCATATTTATTTATGGATACGATTTATAGAGGACAAATCATAGAGCCATAAGTAAATCCGAAACTCTACATTTAGTTTTAAATGGAAGCATAAATCATTTTATCACTTTTCCGTCTAATGGCTAGACTTCGTTTACGTTATCGTTCGATGATATCTTCCATCCCCTTAAACGTCTAATGCATTCGGGCTGCAAATAAATATGCATGTTTTCGCTTTTACACGCTACAAAATTATAAACTAATCGTTGTTAATTTTTGTCCTATCGAGATACAGCTAGAGTCGAATCGGCGAGGCGATTCACTTATAAAACGCAAGGTAGAAACGTCAGCTCTCAATTGCATAATACCATTCGAATATCCTTTGTTTCCCGACAATGGGATGTCCGAAAGCGCGCAGATTCCTGCCACTCCTGCGCGAGAACCGACGGTAAAGACGGAAGGTTACAAAATTATTGCAAAAAAATAAATCTTAATAACTAGATATAATTTGATTAAGATTGAACTTAAAACTAACGCATTAGAAATGAGCACGAGACCATTGCGTGACGCGGTGTACATATAAAAAAAAAAATTTATCCTAATCATTAAAACGATAGTGAAAACGACGGATTCCTCCTAGAAATTAAAAGTCAAAATGAACCGCATCAGCACCAACGTTTCCTTAGAGAGCGCGTCGATCTAATTGGGAGGATCAATCTAAAAAAAAAAGTTATCTCTGTCTCTCGTGCTCGCGTTTGGACGCGCCCTCAGTCCCTCGCTTGCAAAAATGCCCTGACTTCATAAACAAGACTCGTTACATGGAATCCCCCCTTCCCGCGGAAGTAAACAACGCGTACGTTGCGTGAGGCAGTGATAATCGGGCAGCGTTTCCGCACGATTCTGGCATTCTGCTTTAATTTAAAGCGAAATCTTAGGTAACAGTTTATGGTAAGTTTATACAGCAGTTTTGGTATCTATCAAAATCTGACAGTGGGGTTAAATTCAGGACATAATTGGTAATCTCTCTTACAATAAATTTCCGTATCGTCGTCGAGTTAATATATGTATAATCTTCGAATAGCGTCTTGACAACTTTGTGTAGGCACATTCCTGCTTCAATGTTCGAAAATACAATGTGTTCAGATTATACGTACCGAAAAACCGAAACATTCTCACTTTGTCTCTGAATACACATTTCTCTTACGATATATATATATGTATATATATATATATATATATATATATATATATATATATATAAATACAGCTGCGAGTACATATAACGTGATTTTATAAGGTATGTATGTACTTATTTGTGTAGTCGCGGCATAGAGTAGTCGAAATGCAACCTGCCTGCGAGAGAATGTTGCCAAAATGTATACGGACGAAAAAAAAAATATATCTGAGGAAAAGAGAGATGCCGGGCAACATTACATTTCGACTATGGTCTTATCAGTTAGTTATAAATAATTAAAAGATATTTGCCTGCTAGCATGGCCTACTGAACACTTGGGTAGTTTGGAGCTTTCGCGAGTGATTTATACAGTCACTCTCGCTTACGTCTATTTTTTTTCTCTACTGCATTCTGTTAAGTAAAATCAATATGATCTATACGTATGTACACAATAAATGATACGTTAATACGCGTGTAACGTAGGGAACAAGTATGGAATATTCAATTCGGAAAAATCCTCGTTTTGCAGTAACATTGTTACCATGGTAACTCGCGTCTTCTCGTCTTGTACCATTCTGACTTTTCGCTAATTCAATGTATGTATACGTAACGTTAAACATTTCCTTTCGCAAGAAGACATCGGATTTGTACCTCAAAGAGCTGCGGTTTATCGTTTTAATAATACGAACGTAATGGTATGGTAAACTATACAACGGTACCGGTTAAAAAGCGTAGCCATCTCTCAAAAATAGGCTTACTCGTTCAAATATAAAACTGAACTACGTAGGCAGTCATCCCTTCTCAATAGATCTAACATCAATGCCTCACAATAAGAACAACCTGGTGTGACCTGGAGCTAAAAGTGTACCCTGGATGTAGGTCCGCATTTGCAATTATAATAAATATTTCATGTCTTCCGTTTTCCGAGTTACAAAACGACAATGGCCATTCTCATTCTAAGACATTGATATACGCACATGACTATTTAACAACAACAAAAAATGTTCTTTCGTTCACGGAGAATATAAACTATGTTGTGTAATTGAATTTGCAATGTATAGGAACTTTCATTGTTATAAATGCAATTCCGTTGTAGTGTTATATACTCCATCCCTACAGTTATTACTTAGGCAAGCTATTTTTTTTACATTATTGCCATGGAAACGTTATTACTGCTGAAAATATTTTCTCCTAACAATGTATACGGTATATATGGAACGAACTTTTTTTGAGCGGCGGAGCGGTTGTGGTAGCATTTCTCGAGACTTTTTCCATTAAAAAAATAATTAACGGTAATCAGTATAAATATTGATAGATTTCCCGGATATAAAATGAGCTTATATTATTACAGACGTATATGTATAAATCTTTAGATGTAAAAATATTATCAAGAGAGAACATGTTTTTAGCTTCTATTAATATACAGTTTCTTCAAGATTCAAGCATTCCCAAAATTTTAAAAGCTTACCCTTTAGTTACACCATAGTACAAATTACGATCTTGTTATATATTGTATACAAATAATACACGATTGCTGCAGTTAATATATTACGGATATTTATAAAAATTCATGCGTGAATAAAATTCAAAATGTAAAAAATATATTTTTTAACAAATCTGTAGCTAATTGAAGTAAACTGTAGTAAACTGGATTGAGAAACAATGTACTTTCTTGTGGATTATCATTTAATCTATTCACATTCAAAGTGTAACTACTGTAAGCGCTACCAAATACCTGCTGCGTCGCTGTTAAATCATAATCTATCAATTGATATTTTCATACGCGAGATATATGAATATAAAAAAAGATTTGCTAAATATATGTAACTGCTGGACATCCAATGTGATAATGGATACCGCATCCATTTCTTTGTCCCTAACTAACCCCCTCTAAATTATAAAACCCTTCCCTGAGGATCATGAATATCCAGCAGTTAGACAAAAATGCTATCTACTAATCTAACAGTAATGGTTAGCCTAGTTCAATCATTTCTGCATCCTCCACGTTGCTATGGCCAACTACGTTATACCTAGAAAATTATCGTCCATACTGTTTTTAATTCGATAATTTTATAATCGTACGCTAATAAAAAAATATATATATTTTGAAAATAAGAATTTGTAACTTTTATATTCTTACGTGTGATTTGGTAAATGGGTATTGTGGAAATGAAGATGCGTCGTCCGAGGTGAGAAACCACGCGTTGCCTTGCGGGGACTTCTGGCTTTTGTTACTTGCGGTGGCGACATGGTACCTAGATACGGTTGTTGAAGGAACACATCCTCCATTATGCTCGGTGCTACATATGTAAATCCCTGAAGAAACGTTTCACATTATTAAGAAGTACAACCAGAGACGTATTGTTGGACATATAAAAAAAAGAAGAAAACTCACCTGGAACAGTCCGTCAGCTGATTCGCTTAAAGTGTAGTCTACTGGGGAATCTATTGGTGCTGAAGTAGTAAATTTCTTATCAAACTGCGATACATCCTCTTCGCTGGACAATTTTGGTCTAAAGGGAGGTTTTAACTGTCGAGATATAACGTCGTTCCAATTGATATGTCTGAAGAATTTGTGTACCTTCACTTCGTCACCATCGGACTGAGCAGATCCCAATCTTTGCCCAACTTGTCTCTGTACAGAAGAAAATTATACTTTCAATAAATAATATTACCAAGATAATTCTTTTCAAAATAGCATCGCTATTAAGAAAAGTATATGTTTACAGCGATTAATTTCTGAACACAAACCTTCAATAATTTCCGAATAAGATCTTTAGCGTCGGCCGTTAAATATGTTGGGAAAAATAGTTTGCCACGTAGAATCTTCTCAATAGTTTTCTTCCTACTGTTTGAGCTAAATGGTGGCTAAAAATTTAGCAAACAGTGACATAAATTAATATGCACATCCTTTCGCTTTAAGTTTATGCGAAACGGCAATACATACAGATCCTGTAAGCATGTCGTATGTCAAACTTCCCAAACTCCACCAATCTACTGCTTTACCATGTCCACTTCTCGTCAAAATCTCAGGTGCCCTTGAATAAAATAAAATACAACAATAGAAACATAATTAAAATTGTAAAATGTCTAAATCCATCCATCCATCATTAACTTTCTACGATATTTACATGTATTCGATAGTCCCGCAAAATGTATGCGTAAGAGCACCCTCCTGTATGTGCTCTTTACACAATCCAAAATCAGTCAACTTAATGTGTCCATCTACGTCCAATAGAATGTTTTCTGGTTTCAAGTCTCTGAAACAGTTCATTACAAACATTATTAATTCAATTGCTGCGTATGAATAAAATGTTTAATATACACATCAATTACTGCAAATTTAAATTATATTTTAATTCTTAATGCAGGTATAAAGAATTTATCAGAAAAAAACCATACCTGTATATAATTCCTTGCAAGTGAAGATGTTGCAGAGCCAATGTAATTTCGCATAAGTAAAAACTGCAAGACAAATAACATATGATATAAGACGCTGGTCACAGCGAAAAATTTTCGGAAAATAAAAATTGAAGATGTTTTCATGATTCCACTCACCGTGCAGTCTCTTCCAAAAAAATTCCTTCGTCATTTAAGTGATGAAACAACTCACCGCCGCACATATATTCCAATATCAGATATAACTTATGATCAGTTTGGAAAGCGTACTTGAGATCTACGATGAAAGGATGCTGCAAGCATAAAAACAGATGAATTAATATTTTGCACAAAATATTGATAGATATAAAAAAAAGATAGAACGTTAGCTTTTATTGAAGTATGTTTAAAAACTATCGGAAATTACAAGTATCTTTTTCATACGTGCTAAAAGATTATACACGTATATGGAATTTGAATTCCACTAATTTGAATTCTGAATAGAACAATCTTTTTAATATACATAAATAAGTATACACAAACCTTTATGGATTCCAAAATATTCCTTTCAGCTCTGGTGTGAGCGGTATCCTTCTGATTTCTTACAATCAGAGCCTTGCGCAATACCTGTTTCGAACGGTATAAAAGAATATTCTGAATGTGAACTCAGAAAAAGAGTTACAGATAAAAACGCTGGTCAGCGCAGAGGATAATATAAAAATAGATATTGATTAGAGAATTTACAGCTTAACGCTACCGCTTCTAGAGATAAAACCGCAAAAATTAATTACGTTCAATCTGCAATGATTGAAATAAAATTTCCAGCAAATAACGATATAATTATAATAATCCCAGGTAAACTTTTTGTTTCGCAAAATGCTTGCTGACCAAGAAAAACATGAAATGCAAAGCATCGCACACAATTTTTTTGCATGTTATTAGTAAGTAATAAAAACAGATATAACATTCTTAAATTTCGAATTCATCCTCTCTCTCTCTCTCTCTCTCTCAAAAGCATCTTTTACACACTACTTATTTGAAAAACACGTTTTGAGATAAATAATCACGGTTGCGTAATTAATGCGTTATACGAGGATTTCGTTGTACCTTCATAGCGAAGAGTGTGCCGGTGTCGTTTCCCGTTATTTTGCGGACCTGGAACACCTTGCCGTAGCCGCCCTTCCCGATAACCTTACACAACTCGAAGTCCTGCGGCCCGACCTTCTCGCACGTGCGATTGACATTGTGCTCCGATAACGCCACCGTCTCCACCACGTCCGACGAGCTGGAAGCGGATTAGGGGAACAAATTAACAAATTCGTTCTCAGCCAGAAGGACAGCTGGTGTGTCCATGTCAAGAGGGCCCGCGCGGGCGACCGCGTGTAAACGTACGCGCGCGCGGTGCGAGCGGGGAACGGGCCTTTTACTCACTTTACGATCTCGGTCTCGTTCAGCATGACGCATTCCTCCTGCGAAAAGGAAAACAGATGCGGCGTTAGAGCGACGTAGGTACACGTGTCGCTGTCGCGGCGGGCGGCCGCGACGCGACGGTGTATCGGGATTCCCGTCGTCGACGACGGGGGGATGAGGAGGGGAGAGGACGCTTTCGGAGTCCTCGGGGGGAAGTCTTAATTACCGCGTCGATCTCGAGGACGTCGTCGTCCTCCGACTCGTCCCTGCGCGGCAGCCCTGCGTCCTGCAGCTCGATGTCGAAGATCGCCGACATCGCGCTGGTCGCGTCGCTTGTAACACTCGCGAGGACGTACTTGTGCACACGAGAGCTGGCTGGGAGTGGGCAAGTCAGACGCAAGCCGACGATCACCCTCGTGTCGCGCGCGCGCGACGTCAACGCGTCGAGGAATCCGACGGCGACGACACGCCGTACACGCGAACCAGCAGCAGCAGGCCGCCCAGCAGCAGGTACGAGCGGGGTGCGCGAGGACCCGCCGACGACCGTACGACGCGCTCAAGACTCGATCGCGGAGTGACGGGTGGCCGTGGCACTCGATTCGTGGAACGGACCGTACACCTCCTGTCGCAACACCACCGACCACGCCGCCGACCGCCGCCGCGACTCGCGAGGGAATGCGGGCTCGCGAGCCAATCGCGTCGCGCGTCGCCGCTCCCGCCACTCGCTCACGCGGCGGATTTGAATCATTCTCGAACGTTTGAGACCACTGGCATACGCAAGAAAATCGATTTCTAGTGAATTAACTGAGAATGTTACGTTTTTCTCAGGAAAAGCATTGAAATGGATGACATTGTCTGAAGACCTTTTCTCTTCGTGATAAATAGACAAAAAGTGAAAACTTCGTTGAATTTGCTTTTAACAAGAGACTTATATATTCTTGCAGGTTTTATAATCTTAATCGTGAGGGTGTTCACGTCGTAAATTTTACAAATTTATCATTACGTTAAAGCGTGCACGATGAATTGAAAGCGTTAAGAGACAACCCTGGTGGAAAAGATTTTCACAGAATTTTTAAGAATTTTACTAAAACTTTTATATTTTACATTTATAAAGATTTCTGAAAAATATTAAAAATTTTTTTTTTTAGATCATTTAAAGTTTTCTTCGAAAATCAAAAAATCCCAGAATATTTTCAAATTTACACATATTATGTATATAAAAATTCTAGAAAGACTTTTTTAAAAAAGAACGATAGCACTTTCCAAAAAGTGTTCCAATTTATAGACAAAAATCGAAGAAATTTTCCAAAAAGTTATAAGATTGTGATCAATTTATAAAAATTTTTTAATACTTCACAAGTTATAAATTATAAGAAATTCCGAAAAGTCATATGAAGAATTCTAAGAAAAATGACCAAAGAACACCTTGCGATAAGCATTCGTCAACAGTATATCAACTCTCGTCGCTCAACAATGAATATATGCCTGTCGATCTTTCATCACGAGATCTTTGTTCAGGCGATTTCGAGCCTCACTTCCCACACCCTTTGTTTCCGAGAGCTGTGGGTATCAAATTCTCCGAACGCAAATGCGTCATCATACGCTCGAATAAAGATCCCCGTGTGTCGCGGCCGCCACGCGCGCCGCGAGGCATTGTATATAGATCGCGCCGCGCGCGCTCCGCGAATTGTGCAACTTTGCGAAATCGCGATCGCATCGTCGGGAATCCGAGCGGGAAATCCGTATATTGCTCAACAAGGGCGAGATAATTGGTTATACAACGGATTCGTACAATTCGATGATTATCGAGGTGCAGGTAGTCGTTATCGCGCTGAACGTTATGATTGCGCGATGATGGTGCATATATTGTTACACGTCTCAGATAAATGCGGGAGATAACGTAGGCGGGTTACCTCCTACAGGCGATAGAATTTCATACGTTTGCCGTACGTCCCTCGTAATATAGGTATAGTCCCGCGAACTGCCGAGGAGTCCGAATTCGCCAAAAATGGTCGAGCGCCAGTACGTGCGGGGATACGAGGAGTTTCTCAAGTTTACCGACGAGAGCCGCACGCGATATGGAAATACGTACGATCGGATATACGTGCTGTACACCGGCACGAAGCTGCCGGACACCGGCGAGAGTTGGTGCCCGGACTGCGTGGAAGGTGAATATACTATTTTCTTTTTTCCGTCTCGACATAACCTATAAACTCTTCGAGTCTTGTCTCCTTCGGATTGTTGTGTTTACTGCAAAATCCGCCCTCTCCCCCTCCCCCAGAAAAAAGAATTCTCATCTCCTCGGAGAGCCAAGTCCGTCGGACAGACGAATTTTGCAAAGTGCGTGAATGTCGTCGGCGGAACGCCGACAAAAATACATATTACAGAATCTGCCAGCGGTATGCAATGTGGTACGGGTAGATTAACTGCAGAATTCGAGCAGAATATTTTACTGTCTCGTAACCTGGATGGTAAAACGATATGTGTTTCGTCTCTCGGATAAGTGAAAAATTTTGCAAAGTGCCCGCTGTGAACTTTGGCCGTGTTCCCCGACGATGTGCACGCTGAAGATCTATAGTGTGTGCACGTGACGTAAACTATATAGATTTTCTGACATTACACCTGTATCGAAACCGTGCCCACGAGTAATAGAGACGTCACTACGTGACGTCACTCGGACTACGTTCGTATACGTCATCGTTAATCGGATTTTGCAACATCTGTATAGTATTTTGCGTCAGTAATTATTAACGATTGACGTAAAATGCCGTATTACGTAGGCACTTGGGAGAATAATATAGTAAAAATATATAACAGGATCTGCTGTAGTAGAATATAACAATATAAATTGTCAAAGCCGATCGGAATTTAAAATACCAAATATAAAATATCAAAAACTATATCAACTGTCAGGATAAATTTTCCAAAGGGATTTATTTTATATTTCATAATTATTTAAATGATATATTCGCTCCATTGACCGCTGCGCATTCTAGAATTCGACTGAATATCAATGATGTTCAGATTTTGAAATATTGATAATAGCAGGAAATGATATGACCAATGATAAGAGACGTTTGTAGCATAAAATATCTGTTTCCTTAGCATTGCATTGAAAAACTTAGGTCGAGTTCTATATTGATTTTTGTATTGATTAGATATTACTAGGAAGTTCTTATCAAGCTATAACTATGAGATTATATATTTGAGAGAGATAGGTTTGAGATATCTTGGGTTCATTAGATTTGAGTAAATAATTTTTTATAATTATCTAAAATAATTTATGTATCATATATGTATAATGCAGGGGAAAATGAAGCATAAATATGTGTTACAATTGTATTTTAAGTTTATATCGGTGCTGCTTACTAAGCATTACCTCGTTTTTTTTTTCAGCTGAGCCATATATCGAAAATGGTTTCAAAGCAATATCTAAAGTAGAGACCATACTATTAGTGATAGTGGAGGTCGGTGACAGGCCATTGTAAGTATATAAAATGTTTCATAACTTCTACAACTGTTATTTTTATATAAATTATAAGTATTATGTAATAATTGTTATTTAATAATGTGTAACATGTATAACATATCGCTCATTTGTTGCAACAATGACATAGCTAAAAAATTGTCATTTTTTTTAGTTGCTCTTCAAAATAGAACGGAAATGTAAAGAAAAAAAAAAAGAACGCACTTTAAAAGGCACATTTATTCGTTTACAATCAATTATTATGTCAAAATCGTATTTAAAATGAATATTACAAAATTCTAATGTTTCAAATCGTTAAAATTTATTTTCTAAAAACTTTGTACTTTTTTAGTTGTGTCGTAGCAAACGAGCGATTACATAAAAGAGAAAACTTCCAAATCTTATGCTTTTATACGCTTTCCTAGCTGGAAAGATCCGAATTGTCCGTTCAGAACAAATGTTCATAGCAAGTTGAAAGTCTTGCCGACTCTAGCTAGATGGGGGACTCAGAAACGTTTAGAGGGTGATCAATTGCTGGATCCTGAACTTATCGAAATGTTACTGACAGATGGGGATGACTGAACGATTGTAATATAGGTACATCTTGTCTTTCTGAATTTTTCACAAAAAGTATATTGTATATCTTGATTTATAAGCGTATACGTAAACTACATATATTTTCGTATACAATTGTATTATACATATATTACCTATTCTTTTTTATAATCATCATTCCCCCTTCCGTTACCATGTTTCGAAAAGAGATATCACAACTACAAATAAACTACAATTTAACCAATAGGATATATACTAATAGGATTATTTTTTGTGCATTTCTACGCATAATTATTATTATAATAATCCACATAATCTTTTGAGCAATAAAGAAATAAGGAAAGAAAACGGCAAACGAGGAAATGTCAAATCTATCAAACAATCAAACAATCAAAATACTGTGATTAAATCTATATAAATTACAAAGAGTTTACCTCAAATTTATTACAATTACATTTCTTAACGTGACATTCTGTCGAAATTTTAGCTTGACCTGTTACAAATATAAAATATCAAGAGTCATCAACTGTTAATCCAAATTTTCTAAAAAGATTAATTTTATATTACATCATTGACGCCACTTCTCTCGCCGGTGGTAATACGCGTACAGAATAATGAACCTTCTTATTCCTCAGCATACTGTAGGTATTGTCGAAAACAACGGAATCTGAAAAAATAAAATTTATAGAATGAGACGTCGTTGTTGCGGAGCGTTGTTCGGGCGATATGGACTTACAAGTCGTCGGAGTTTCGCAAGTTAATACTCCAATTTCTTCCGATTGGTGGGACGCGACTCTCCGGATAGGTATAACTTCTGTCTTTGTGCCGTTAGTTGTGTCTTTTTTCAAAATCCCAAATTTGATGTCGTGACCTTCGCTTCGGAATTCCCAACTGAATACAGGAATATGAGTTGAAAAAAAGGATCTTCTCTTTTGATGTATTTATTGTAAAATATATTTATTACCTTAAGATGGAACCCACTTCAGGTGCAGAAATATCGAATTCTAACTTCCCTCCTTTTCGAACGACGACGGTAGTATAATCCTCGCTTGGCTTATTGTCCATATTATGGTTAGTGTACAATTCTTTAGGTATCTTACCACCTTGGCAGACCTGGCAATAATTTCGACTATTATTTTTTGAAACGTACGCATGATATATTTTTGATTTAAAGAAAATCAAATTGATATGATATCAGATTTGAATATTATTCCAAAACGAATAAACATGTTGTGAAGCAGGCGAAATGTAAGAATTGACAATAAAAAATCGACTTTTTCGAGATCTTAGAATTTGTTTTCAACGAAAATTTGAAAAGAGATACTAATTTTAAATATATTAACATTTAACATTCGGGATCAATTAAGTCTATTATGTAGAACTTTACATGTTCTATTGAAGTTTTTACATTTGACCGGATATTCTGTGCTATGTGCATTCTGAAGGAAATTTAAATAGCTTACTTTTGTAGTGTATTTCGGATTGCCATCTGGATCTCTTAATGATCCACCATAATGGGCGGGTAGTTGATCCTCCGGCACGAGTTGAAGAATTGCTTCTTGCCACTTCAACGGTTCGCTTTTGTAGATTTGTATTTTCGACAATGTATAGTCGTCCATGAATCTTTTAACAACGGAGAAAGCAAAAGCAAAAACTCTTGGGGCTGTAACAGTATAATACAATACATAATGGTATAGGTATACTATTTTATATACAATGCATAATATTACATAGTAGCATAATAGTTCTCTTTTTCCGTTTCTAAAAGTTTTCCAAATAAGTGATAATATGTTGCAAACAAAATTCACGAGGGATCATTTCGAAAAAATTATTCTGTAATCTTTTACTTTACAATAACAACAATAATCTTTTTTAATAATTTTAAACAAGGCTGGCTGACACACACACACACACACACACACACACACACACACACACACAAATAATAAGAGAAAAAAGAACTAAATTCGGCCGAGATTGTTGATTGCTTAAGAATATTTTTAATTTTTAAATCTTTAAATTTCAGTTATCGTAAACTGCGCGATTACTGTCGATCTTTAAAAACACAAGCATAAAGCTAAAATAATATCATATATCTTCATTAAATATCTTCATTCAATGACGATGCTACGATGATGATTCGATGTTACAAGCATCTTAAAACACTATAAAGAACTTATTGCAAAACATATTTCCTCAGTCAGGATTCGAACTTGAAGCTTTCTGATCTTATCCGAGTGTCTTACTTATTCGACCAATTAAAAGTTCTTTACAATGTTTTAGTGATGCTTCATCCTCGAATGAAGATCAATTTAATAGGTATGTGATATTATTTTAACTTTAAATTGTGATTGCTTTCTTAAAGACCGACAATAGCGCGCAGTTGACGAGAACTAAGGTTTAAAAATTTTAAATATTAGGCAACCGACATCTAAACTCAATAGAGTTTAACTCTTTACCTCCTCATTATTTGTTAATAATTTTTTTTTTTTCGTTGTGCTCATTGTCAAACGAAAATCTAGAATAAATATAGAAAAAGGAAGAATTTGAAAGAAGTAAATGAATGAGGATTCACATTCCATTCATCGCAAATAATAGCGATTGACTTTCAAGGCAAGAAACCATTCGAATATTTTGACAAAAAATAATGAAAAAAGTTCATAATAACCGTAGGTATTTAGAATATGCATTTTGACAAAAAATAATGAAAAAAATTTATAATAACCGTATAGGTATTTAGAATATGCATTTTGACAAAAAATAATGAAAAAAGTTCATAATAACCGTAGGTATTTAGAATATGCATTTTGACAAAAAATAATGAAAAAAGTTTATAATAACCGTAGGTATTTAGAATATGCATTTTTCACAGATATAGTTATCATGCTGACTCATTGTTAGTTCCTGCGACTTGAATGGAAAATCGTATGAAATAGCATGAAACACGTTAAAACATATTTTTCATATTCGTATTTTATAAACAATTCTTTTTAAAAACAAATTTAATTAAAAGGCTTTTAACAATCAAATTAAAAGAGGACTCTCAATTATAAACAAAAAAATTCTAATAAAGAACAATGAGAACGCAATGCGATTAGTGCGCAAATAATATATGATTATTGTTACGCTGAAAATGTTTTGAAACTAAAACGTCTAATTATGATAGAACAAAAAGCACTTAAGGAATATTATATTATATGTATTATCTACGCGCTAACGTGTTGCAGCCGTTTTTATTTCTTTTTAGACAGATAATACATCAAAGAATATTTATTTCGTTGCAAGGAATAACGTTTGCAATAACAATAAAATATCACGCTAGTACGTTACGATTATTATATATTATTAAACTTACCGTTGATCATAAAGCACATCTTTAGAATTTCCGGATAGTTTGCCTCGTACATTTGGATGCAAGTGATGATCAGCTCGCCAGCTGCAACGGTACGCATTGATAAGGCAACAATAGAAAAGGAAGAGGCAAGATGCCCTAAGAAGAATTACGTCGACGAATAGAGTCCCAAATTTGCCTAATATTTTTACCTGGTTTCCACAAATACGGCTTAATATTAAATCCTTCCATGTCAAAGACAACAGTCACTTGATTGGCGATTTGCCCATGCGTTTTCGCTTGCTCCCTTGCTAAGTTCAAATAATAGTCTAACCATTTTATCAACGTTTTAACGAAATCCTTCTGTGTTACTACATGTAATGTTCCGTACATGTCCAAACCGGCAAAAGGTACTATGACAACTGTAAAAATAATATATATAAATAATATATATCATGCACATGCACGTGCGCGTGCACATTTACATATAGCCATATATTTAAAATTTTACATATATGTAACATTTATATGTATTATACATATAATATTTATGTAAATTTAAAATGTTATATATATATATACAGATACATGCATCATTTTCTTGCAAGTCAAGAGAATGTTTTATATATATTTCTATGTATAAAACATTCTCTTGACTTGCAAGGAAATAATGCATCTATTATAAATCTACAAAATTTACGATTTAAATTTAAAGGTTAATTTAAAGAAATATTTTTGTCGTCTCTAATAAGTACGCGTGTAACGAGATTTATGTATTAAAAGTTTAATTATGAAAAACAACATTACAGAATTGTTTTTTATTGAATAATCTTATTAAGAATATTATATAGAAATCATAAAACTTTTAGATAGATATAGCATAATAAAATATGTAAAATAAAAAAATAAGCACATTTTTCCGATCTCAAGTCAATTTTCATGATTTTCTTAGGTTTGAAAATCTTTTTTGCTTTTTTTTATTATACTTTCTCTATTTTTTATACTCATAATATAAAAATATTAAATAAACGTTCAATATATTCAATGCTATAACAAAAACTCGACACAATTAAATGATAATTTTATTTCGTTGGCTTTAGATTTGTGAACATGCAGGAATAAAATGTGATTAAAAATTGTTCTCATTGCGCGCTATCAGACAAAACTTTTGATGCAATTTAATTTTTAATAGCTTTCGGTAATCTAGTTTTAAGTAAAATAAAATAATTGTTTTAGTTAAAAAAACTGGAAAACATTCGAATGAAAATAATATTTCTTATCATGAGAGGGAAAGAAAGAGAAAAAAAATCGCAGGAATTACTTAAAAAGGATATCACACTTCGAAGTTGCATAAAATCGCGGTCATGGTCTGTTACATATCTTTTGCAAAGGAAAAGTAAATTCCCGAAAGTTGGATGAACACCTTGACCGGGTTCTTTTTTTTTTTTTTACCAAAATACTGATATTGTGTTTCAGACTCTAAAGTGTGTCAGATTTATTGTTACGTTGAACAAGACACGAGCGCTTCTGAAGAAGAGATATTTATTTTTATCGTCATATCTTATATTAATTAGTAAATAACAATTAAGTTTAAAACAACTCGCAGATTTAAAGACACAATACTGCCTGTTACAAAAGAGATTTTACCTGGTGCTCCATCTTTGTCGAATCCGCTTAGTCCGTGAGGCAGGTAAGTTTTCATTACTTCGGGAATTTCCCAGTTATCCAAATTATCCCATTGTTTCCGCCATTTTAACGACTGCAAACAAATATTTTCCGTAAATGTTTGTTGTGTATTTCATTATTGCAGAAGATAATGCATAATCAAAATTATCAATGTTTTTGATATATATATTTTCGATTGCTATATTGCACCGATAAATCTGATTGTATCTTTAATATCTTTGATATTTTGAGTAATATTTTATGATAACATCTACAATGTGTACGCCCGTCTTTTTTATTTTCATCAGATTTCAATAAATCTTAAAATTTAATCAGGAGATTTCTCTGCCACTCGTATTTTTTGCGCAACAGCGTGAAATTAAAGATGTAACAGTATAAATGTAATGTAACGTTCGTATTACAATACGACATGAAGTATTTCCGTGTGGAATCTTTTTTTTTCTTTATAAAAAATAACGTATTTATGCATTGCTGTGAAAGTTAAATTTCTCCTGGAAAAACTGTAATAGGCTTATTGAAACATAAATAAGTCAGCCAATTATTGCCTCACTTGACTCACTCAAAAGAAATGATAGCCGAAAAAAGTTATGTTATATTTTAAGTAAATTGATGATGTTAATTAAAAAAAAGAAATTTTATAAAATTAAAATAGTGTGTCATCAAAAGACCTTATCGTAACACAAATAAGTTAAAAACACAATTTGAATTTAGTATTAAAAGTATATTATTAATATAATTTAGTTCAAAATTATTATTGTTGAATTTATTATTAAAAATATCACATATTTGATTCAGTGAATGCTTGTGACGGAAACTCAAAAGAATGTTATTGTTCCGTGCTATTTTTTTCCGTATATGTAATGTCTGTATATAAAAGAATACGGCTTGTAGGTTTGTATGTTACGGTGTAACATGTGCCGTTGGAGAGACTTTAGTCGGTGTAAGATGTTCGAAGTCACGCCGACAGTAAAAGAAATATTTCTCACGATTTACGGGTAACGATTTCAGGAATAACAGGGTTTCACGCGGAATAGAAAGTGAAAAAGGTAATTTCCTCTGAAGAAATTACTTCGGAAGATACTTAGCCGCATTATAAATCCCCCGGTTTTCAATCATCGTGAAACTTCACGACATGAGAATACGGATGACGGTGACTTCGCGAACGTGCTGCAGAGGAATCGGCACATTACTTTCGACTTGCAAAACGGCACGTACTGAGAACAACTTTCTATTTCATATAAAACATCTTCGAGAACAAAAAAGCGGAACTGTCGACGGCAAATCATAATCCTTAACATCCGATACGAACCCGGAACGGTACTTTCTTTAATTTATTCACGCCAGAATTATCTATGATTATTTGGAATGACGTTAGCGAATTATTTAGTTGTTACTTATCTATGAAAAGATTGTTAAATTATTGTTTTGACATTAATAAATTGTAAATTGAATTAATTTTATTAAACATATATATACAACATTAATAAATCCTAGTTATTATTTAAAAAAATTTTTATAAAAAAGAATTTCCATTTTTCTATTTTGCTTTGTTTGATTTTGATGCTTTTGAAATAACGTATCTATCGGACGAGTATCTATCGGAAGCTGGATCGAGATGACATCTGTCTCGACTGTCATTCAATTTCAATCGATGGAACTCACTCGCAAAAATGATAAAGATTTCTCAATGCGCGACAACAAAAGAAGTCTATTCTCAGGATGCAGCGAGCTGTGACGCGACTCACTAAGTTTACGCCTGCCGCGTTAATATTTAATGACTCGCGAGTAATTCACGTGGCAGAGAAATTTAAAAGGCTTCGGTGACCATATCCGGAACGTGTTTCACCAGACTTTCTCAATTGGATTCGCTTGCGTTTCATGTAATGCGAATAATGAACCTAATCTGGGGGAACGGAGGTCGAAAACGTAATCGATGCAACCGTCCGGAGATGTGTAATATAAAGTATGCACATGCACTTTACGCTCTATCATATGTGTATAAATACGAGAACGTCGGAATATAAGATTTACGATTGTGATATCTCTTAAAATCATGTTGTTACACGATTACTTACGTCCCTCAGCATTTTTTCCGCCGCGGTAGGATCCCATTTTCTTGCTAAAAAGAAAAAGAATAGAAATTTATTCAACTCGCATGGCAAATAATATTCTATGATACATTTGTGAGAATCATTATTTTTTGAATTATCGATGAAAAAGTTTTGCTCTATATGTCTACAATATTTAATGTAATTTGTTAAAGGCATTAAATATTTAAACAAGGATGCGAATATTGATGTGAAAGCATCATCGTTTTTCGTCATTCATTTGGTGATAGGTGAATCTTACAATTCGCGTGACTCTCAGGATTATTTGGACAGGACTGGAAACAACTATAATAGCCGATAATTTCGAGTTTCCGTAATTCTATTTCAAAACAGTTTAACAACTTTGCTAGATATCGTTTCGAAACACAGACACGCACGCGTACGGAAACAAGCAAAAGACAATAGTCGTCACGTCAATTAGGTCTCCACATGAATATTTCTCACGATGCGACTGCGTGACTGCGATATGTACACATAATGCAGGATAGCATTTATCGAAGTCACGGAGCATATCTTCTTAGATAGTATTAATTGGTTATCAGGAGGAGGGGGGAGGCAAAGAACCATACCTCTCAACCAGCGAAGCAGAAAGTGGTCGTCGTGGTGCGGTTGTAGGACATCTTGCACGGACCGTCGGAACTGCACAAAAAGAATAGAAAGGAAATATAGATCTCTTTTATTTCCTCTTTACATTGTATAACATTATTATTATCAGAAGCGCTCACGATCGCACAATCTTATGATTTGTGATACAGTTATATTATAATTTTATTTCATTTATAAATCACGAGGAACAAAAATACTTTACTGGTGCAAGATGCGCACATACACATTGCAAGTGGCCGTTATCTATTTTCGTAAAAACAATACTTTTATTACATAAAGAATTGTGTTTTTCCAGAAACAGTGGCACGCTTTGATTTTGTACGTTCTGCGTTTTTTTTTCTGCGCATGCAATTCTTAATTATAATTTACAGGAAATATATGCCATCGCGTTGATGCATTTATAAACGCGAGGAAGTGAAACTTCCTGATCGCTTCTGTAATTATCAATGTTACCTCCGTGAACGAGAAAAGGTCCGTATATTGACTCTTGTTACATTATTATTAAACTATACTCTAATCGAAGTGTACTTTCACTCAAATCCGTAGGAAATTCATAGAGAATGCAGTTGATGGTAACATTAATACACGCACACACACACACACCCTCTCTCTCTCTCT